GCATATACAGTGGTTGATGGTTCTATATTTGTAAACTTAGCTTTAAACTCATTAAATTGTATGCAACTAGTAGGTAGAACTTCTTATAGGCCAATCATGCCTCAATAAAATGGTTTTCAAGACAGATCAACAAGGTTAACAAAAGTACCGAGTTCTTGGTATCAATTTTTAAAATTCAGTTTTTGACTATCTGGTGTCCCCTAATGAAAGATGACTTGACAATTCACATCACTTTCCACATTGCATCCTCCCAACATGACTATTAATGACTTCTTGTCCATTTCTCACCATTTGGTGTTTTCTCCATGTGTGGATTCTTTTTATGTGTCAGGATTGTTATTAATCTTCATAGTATACATTTATTAAGTTAATCATTAGAAGTTGTTTTGTTAGTCCCACTCCTTGCCACGCCCCCCCCCCAAAAACGTGCATTTGGACGACCTGGCTTTGAATTTTGGTGCCTGGGGAAGGAGGTGTTTGGGGAGGAAGAAAGGCAGTGCAGTTATGGATGTTTCAACTTAGTTTGGACAAGCATCATCTGATGTTGAGTTCTCTGCTTTTGGCTCTACAAGCACCAATCAGCACCAATCTATATCACAGGCCAAAGACCTATGTATGGAAATGGCAATATGCTTCCAATTTAGAACAGATTTTTTTTTACTACTTATGAAAAATGCAATTAGTTGGATTACTTCAAAACGATTACTTACATTATATGGAAATATTACTAATAACGTCTAAGAAATAATTTATTCACTTTGGACAATACACAGCAAGACCTTCTTCTCATTCTTTTCTGCAGGCTTCCAACTCTCGTATGTTGTGCCCCACACAAGTTGTGAAGTCTCCATTGTACACAGCACAACTATCCTTTCTACCTTTGGCTGCAGGCATGCGTCTGTAATAGCTATTCCTAACTGTTTATACTCTCTGTGTTTCATCCCCTCTCCCAGTCTGAACTGTGCAGACGAGCCAGAGCCTTTATGTTCACATAGAACCTGACTTCTGCGCTTTATTCACCCCCTGGATGGATGGGCAACACTTCCCAAAAGGAAACATCACTCGTCATCCCCACAGAATCCTATTCACTCATGTTGGAAATGGCAAGGTAACCTCTGATCTTTCTCTCCCTCTCTTATTAGGTTCAATTCATTCTTTATATTAGTTGCATCTGTTTCATTTGCATTCCTGTGGACATCTCAATAACCCAGAATCTTGATATTTCGTATAAATACTAGATTGTCACAATATAGATAATTATTCCTCCTATTACAAAAGAGTGGTCTATTATCACTAAGCCCCCATCACATTAACATCTTGTCACTATTTCTATAATAATTTTGATTATGGTTCTTGACTACAGGATCAATTCCAAAGTCTTCTATAATCTACTTTAATTTTTTTTAATAATACCTCCCTTCACACTTGTAAACAGACTCCTAGCTTAGCCAAGTTGGTCAATTTAACATCCAGACACCATGTTCTATGCATTTCCCTGCCATTTCCTTCATCTAAAGGACATCAAGCTTGATTAAGCCCCACCTCTTCTCTTGTGTCTCAACTTGATAAACTCTCTCGCAATGTTAGGGCTGAAGGGAGCTCATTTTCTCTGGTTATAAAACAAAAATCTTTGGGAGAAATGAAGGCCAAAGGAGCACAGGAATATGAGCTTCTCTTTTGGAATGCACCTTTTTACAAACACTTCTTGGTTGCTTCCTATATGCCAGGAAGTTGCTTGTACATGGACTTAGAGTTTGGTGAGAAGGTTGCACATCAGCTATTATATGAGTAAACCCTATTGAGTGCTACAAAGAAGAGGGAAAGGATGGGATTTCTTGAGGCCTGGAGGATGCACAGTTGAGGGAAGTGGTGAGGCATGCAGTGTAAATGAGAAGCCAGGGAAAGAAGTGATTCAGCAGGAGAAGGTTCCCTGGTGTGGCAAAGAATGCCAGGATTGAACTCTGTAAGAAAGGTGGAAGACTGCCCTGAGGCAGAGGAGTTGCCGGAGGACTTGCAAAGACTAAACTGTGACCTGAAGGCTGCAGTGTGGTGGTGGTGAGCACTGAGGGCTGAGGCTGCAGAGCCAGCGAGGGACAAGAACTTGCCAGGTGTTGGAAGGCCCTGTAGAATGAAAGTTTCCGAGCTTTACCCTAAGAACCAACAGACCCAGTAAATCACATTCCAATATGCTTCAAGTAAGGATAGAGGCCGACCCTGTAAGAAGAAGAGATGCAGTCACCAAGTCAGACACTATTTGCTCCGTAGAAACACCTGTATCTCAATCACTCCCCTGATTGGTGATTTCAACCATCCAAGAGGTTTTTTAAGCACATTAATGTAAAATATTAATGTAAAAGTGCAACATTTTTAATTGTTTTCCACTTAGCTTTGACCAGCAGTCTTATTTGTAGAAAGGGATTTTTCAAAGTTTACTGAAATGTATATCATGAAAAATATAACAGATTACAATTGTTTTGGGCATAAAAATAAACATCTTCAGTTTCCCTTTTCCATGAACTTTCTGAAGTCTCCCAGTGAATGGATGTGTGTGCACCCACAAATACTTAAGGGAGTGTGAGCCAGTTTTATGTTTTTCAAAAATGAAACATTTCAAATAAGAACGATCCAGGAAGTCCATTTCACTGGCCATGCGTTGGTTCTGTAGCTGAAGTTAAATATTCATTTTCATGTTTTTTCCCCTAAGTACTCTAGCAACAGAAAACATTTTAAAGAAATAACAACAGAAATTTTCCAAACTTAACTGTGTTTTAATTTTATCCCGTAAGTGGTAGGTAATGAATTTCAGAATGCAAATACAACTTTAAATTATTTCCTCCAAAGTTTCACTTATCTCAAGGTCAAGATTTAAGGAAAAGAGACAAAACTTACTATTGAAAAAAATACCTAATTTTTTTTTTAAACAAAAGCCACTAAGGGGCACACAACAGGCCAAGAAGTGGGAACAATTACTCTTAGAACAACCAGTTCATTTAAACATTGGTCTTGCCAAGAATAGAAAATCCACTTAATTTAAATTCATGCTTTCTTCATTTTGACTGGGAGGAGTTTCCATGTAATACATTCCTTCTAATACATACAGCACACATAGCGCCCTTCTGCCTTTCACTGGCATGGAACACGCTGCAGTCAGGGAAGCCAGCCAGGAGGTGGCAAATCACAGCACTCAGACAGTGGATCCCAGTGGCTCTCACGGGTGCCATGTCTACACTCCAGCGAAAAGTTTATGAAAAACTCTTGCTGATCCAGACACCTCACTCCATCTGGCTCTATGGGTTGAACCTGTCTCCCGTCCTCTGCCCCTCCAGGTCACAGCAGGCACAGGTCAGCCCTTCCTGGACCCCCGCCGAGGTTACCCCATTTCAAACACTGAGAGAAGTCATCTACACCAAGTGGTAACCAACTACCCAACTGGTGGGTCATACCACCCAGTGACACTCAGACACACTCCTTCCTCCCAGCCCTGGGCACGGGACTTCAGTGTATGTACGCATCTTCATGTGAAGGGTTACTTAGGTCAGTATTTGAGACATGTATTTGGCTTAACATTGACGGATGAGATGGGCTTGCTGTAGTTTTCTTTTTAATTGAGTGGTACTGGGAAGAGGACATGGCTAAGGATTTGAGCTCCTCGAATGTCTACGCTATTCAGGTTCATGGCAAAATTGTTCATCTCCTAACTGTAAACACTTAACCTTAAAAAACGAGATGGGTGAAGTCAAAAGCCAGCGGAGTCACAGACCTGGGAACAAGCAGGTCTGTAAACACTACACGAACACCCACTGCACTCTAGTGCGGAATTTACTGCAAGAAACACATGAAATCAGTTCCTAAAGTTGACCACGTACAAGGACAAGCAGGAGAGTGTCCTGTGATCTATGTTGTATAGGAAACCCGCCACCTGCACGGGTCTGTGAGCAGTGCTGAGGATACAGAGTCCGCACTCCACCTAAGTCAGGACTCAGGCTGACCAGCAACATCACCGTGTTACACACAGGACCGCCTTGCGCAGCCAGTGGCTTTCAGTTCCAGCCTACAGGGAGAGTCAGGCAGGAAAAAAGAAAATTACACGCAAATGACCACCAAGCACTAACACGAACCAGACACAACCGTCAGCTGTAATTAAACAGTAACTAGAAAACTTTGCCAAAACTTTGAACTAAGATCTTCTTACATTCCTGATACCCGAAATGATAGGGAAAAATACATTTAGGGACTTCTAAAGGGAAACCCCCCGCCCCCTACATTTTGGCTTGTTTTAAAGCTGTCTTCCATATCTCAAAAATCCACGCCTTAGCAAAGACCTGCTGTCAGGAGTTCATTTGCCTGAACTTTAAATTAGCTAATACTTGAGTCCTACCTCGGGAAGACTTCTGGGTGTTTTCAGCAATGCCTTGTCTCCCCTTGCCTTTACGGGGTTGGGGGGTTAGGGTAGGGGGGAAGTGGGTAAAGTAGCTAGACTTTGTTGACTAATTTAAACCTCCAACAGCCTTCTCTTCCGGTGAATGGTTCATTCATACCAAAAACGTGCCACCCCACTGAGCTGTCTTCAAATTCCATCCCACTCCCTCTTTAAAGCTGCACCCTGCACGGGAGAGTTCACGTTGGGGCACCTACCCAGGACCCCCGGCCTCTGGCCCGCAGCCCGGGCGGGTCCTGCTGTCAAACACCACCAAGGCAGAAGCGCGCCCCAGCTCCGGGAGCAAACGCCTCGCCGGGGTCCCTCAACCCCCAAGTTCTCAACTTAAGTTTGCTGGGGGGAGGGGAAGGGGGTGCTGGGCAGCGCTACCCACAACATCGCGGGGACAAAGAGAGCGGGGCTGGGGGCTTACCGGGACGCCCGATTTTAAACCGGGAAACAAAGCACAGCCCCGTGAGATGGAAGAGGACGAGGGGCAGGCAGGGCACCCGACAGCGCCCGGGTCCCACTCGGCTCCCGCCCAGGGCCGCGCGCGGGACGTGCAGCGCCCCAGCCCGCTCACCGCTTCACTCGGATGATCTGGTCCCGCATGGGCTTGATGTCCTGGAAGCTCTGCTGGTTGACGAGGCTGTAGACCAGGATGAAGCCCTGGCCGTTCTTGATGTACAGGTCTCGCATGGACGCGAACTGCTCGGTGCCCGCCGTGTCCAGGATCTCCAGCACCGACGGCGACGAGTCCACCTCGATCTCCTTGCGGTAGAAGTCTTCGATGGTGGGGTCGTATTTCTCGATGAAGGTGCCGGTCACGAACTGCACCGTCAGGGCGGATTTGCCTACCCCGCCCGAGCCCAGCACCACCACTTTGTACTCGCGCATCGTCCCCCCGCGGCCGCCGCCCGCGACATAGACCTACGGCCGCCGCGCTGCTGCCCCCGGAGCCCGCCCGCCGCCTCCCGAGGCCGCCCGCACCTCCCGGCCGCGCCGGGCCCCCGGGCGCCAGCTGAGGGCGCGGCGGCCCAGCGCGTGGGCCCTCCCGCGGCCGACGGCAGGCGCCGAGGGCGAGCAGGGAGCCGGAGCCGCCCGAGCCGCCCGAGCCGCGGCCCGCAGTGCCGCCCGCCCCGCCCCTCGCGCCTCCACGCCCAGCTCCCCGCCCGCCGCCGCCGCCGCTTCCCCCGGCCCGGGAGCGCGCCCGCGTGCCCGCCGCCGCCCGGCCGCGGGGAGGGCCTGGCGGCCCGGGGCGGAGCCCGCCGCGTAACCCCGCCCCGGCTGCCGCGAGCCCGGCTGCCGTGGGCCCCCGGAGGGGAGGCTCGGCCAGGCCCGGCCCCGCGCCCACAGCCGCCGGCGCCGCCCTCGCAGCCTCCGAGGCCGACGGAGCCCACAGGCGGGAGTCTGAGGAAACGACCGCGCCGGTCCGGCTGCCTCAGCCCGGTGCCCCCCGCCCGTGTGTCAGCGTTCTAGAACAGTTCTGGATGGACCTGACTGACACCTAAACGAGGGAAGCTGTTTTTTGAGGGGATCAGCACTCGCAGGCCTCGGCCTGAGGTTGTAAAACCACAGCGAAATGGAGTTTATTTGGGAACGAGGGGACACTGAGAGGGGGGCGTCCCACGGCCACGACGGCCCAGCGCCCCAGGCGCCCGCCACGGGCGAGGCGTCGCGGCCGAAGCCGGGCCCACGCCCGAGGACGCCGCGGGAGCCCCGCCCCGGGCCCGCCCACCGCCCAGGCCACGCCCACCGCGTCGTGTCCCGCCCCTCCCGCAGCGCCAGGCCCCGCCCTCCCAGCGGCCCGCCTCCAGCCCTGCTCTTCCCAGGCTCCGTCACCCGCGGGCGGCGGGAAAACGCGGAGCGCGGAGTGGCCGCAACAGCCTGCGGAAGAGCCAGGGACACCTCCTAGCAACAGCCCGCAGGGGACCTCGAGTAGGAAGCCGGGATTCATTGCAGCAAATCCAATCACGTCCCTGGACCCCAAGGCAGCACTTGCAGCCAACGGAGAGTAGCCCTTGTGCCACGTGATGCTCTCTCCTTCAACCAATCAGGCAGGTGTCTCGATGCAGGCTTCCTGGGCTTCTGCGCACGACCCGTGGCCAATCATAGGTGCGCTGAGGCGTGACGGAGGTCTGGCTGAGCCAATCCGAGCTTGAGATCCTGGCGGGCCGGCGGGGTGTGGGAGGAGCCAAGGTGGAGGCGCTGGGCGCTGCGTCCTTGTGTGGCGCAGGGATGCATTGGTCCTAGGCTGGAGCAGGGATGCGTTCCTCCTGCAGCCTCTCCGCGGCGTGCTGACCCTGAAGGGCGCGGGGTGGTGGCGCGGGGCGCGGGCAGACACGTCTGTGTTAGGGCGACAAGCGTCCAGGGCCCCGGGTGGATGACTGCAGTGGAACCTTCCGCTGGAGCCCCTCCTCGTGGGCACCACCTGTGGGGTTCAGTTCACAAAGGCGGCATCTCCAGCCACCTGAGGTCTCCAGCCTTAGATCTTAGTTACTGGCACGCCCACTCATACTTTAGATTTATTTTATTTTTATTGGAAAGGCAGAGAGGAGTAGAGACAGAGGGAAAGATATTCCATCCATTGACTCACTCCCCAAGTGGCCCCAAGTGGCCACAATGGCCGGAGCTGCACCCATCCGAAGCCAGGTCTCCCACACGGGTGCAGGGTCTCAAGGCTTTGGGCAGTCCTCGACTGCTTTCCCAGGCCACAAGCAGGGAGCTGGATGAGAGGAGGGGTCACCAGGACACAAACTGTTGTCCCATATGGGATCCCGGGCATGCAAAGCGAGAACTTCAGCCACTAGGCTACTGTGCCGGGCCTCCACACATACTCGAGTAGAGGTGTCACATTGCTGGGTTGACTTGTCACTGATTGGATTTACCTTGCTGCATCCTTCCCCGACTAGTGTACACATGTCCATCACTGTTTCGCGTTTGTAGGGATGACACCTTGTGGTTCTAATGCTGGATTGTGGCATACCCTCCACCATTCTCCTTCCTCACGAGGACTGGGGAAGAATTGCGGCCGAGTTCCTCTAAACACAGGTGCTGTTTAACCATTTTGTCTGTCCGTGATGGACGTCTACCAAAATAATGATCATAATAATAGTAAGGCAGTGACCCGCTGCCGCTATCACTCCCATTATGCAAGAATGGGTAATTTGTATTAGCACGTCTGTAGTATAAACGACAAAAGTTTTAATTTGAAATAATTGATGGCAGCTATCCTATGAAACTTAAACTGTGTGGGTCAATACCCTTGGGTGATTCGATTTGGCACCCCCCCAGACATGCCGAAAGCTCTTAGCTCAAGCCCGTTATGTAATATGATGTGCTAGATATCCCTACGTGTTCAGCCCGTTTGTGATTGTTTTTGAATATTTCAAACGTTTTCCTTCTGCGATTGGTTGAATCCCCCATTGCAGAAACCGTGAATATAGAGGGCCGCCTGCGTAACTCAGTTCTTGCTTCATGATTACATGTCACCAAAAATACTACAGCGTATGTGAACTACCATAATCAGCAGTGATGGCAGACAGTGGAGAGAACAAAAAAATGCACGGTGCTTTGAGGGGATTGAAACCCAACAGCATTTGCCATTTCATCTGGCTCTGTCGTGTGGAGAGGTGAAGCTGAAAAGGCTCTCTCTGCCGCTGCATGCAGATGTGCTGGGGATCTCGGCATTTCTTGTGTAGATGTAACAACCCATTTAGTGCCTCCCTCGCATTACAGTAGAACTGAACGTTCACCTCTGCAGAGGGTGCAGCGTCTCAGTGCTGTTGCCGTTGTCAATGTGCTTTGGGAGGGTGGTGGGTCTGGAGAGTGACTATTTTTAGGCCCTTGAAAATACTCTGGATTGGAGGGCGTCTGATAGAAAATGTCACAAAACACTGAGAGGTCACTCCAATCACTCCACCGAACACCACTTGGGGGGACCATGTTGCTCCTTCTTAGGGTATTTCCCCTGACCTTTCATCAATGCCAGTGTTTTGATCAAAACTGTGGGGACTACATCCCAGGAGGTAGTGGCGGCTCATTGATGTGTCTCATAGCAACGAGCAGGAGGTGAAAGAAGCAACAGGTAGGAACGGGTTTCCCACCTCTTCTTTAGATGGGAGAACTCTGCTTTGTGAGGGAATGTGAAAAGTTGATTGAAAGATTAGTGGCTGTAAGGAGAATTTGAAGATTTGGGTGGGAGATAGACATCTTATTTTTTGAATCCTTAATCATATTCATTCTTGTGCTCTGTTCAAAGAGTCGTTTTAGTTGTAAAAACTATGTCTGTTCATTTCTCTGTAGGGAAGTCAAAATAGAAACAAAATCAGTTGAAATTGAATTTTCCCCAAGAACTATTAATCTTTATGGTGCTGAAAACTTAACACTGTACACTCACACTGCAGGGTCCCTGCACTTTCAAAAAATACATTGCTGGGAGAAAAAAAAAAAAAAACTTCATGTCTGCTCTCCTGCTGGATCTGAAAGGGAGTTATCTCACCTTTATCCAGATCCCCTCAATTGTCACATTGTGTTACCATGGAAACCCAGCTCCTTTATTTCCTTGTGTGAAAGATGTTGGAAAAGGTGGAATGAGGTGGGAAAAACACTTTGTACTGGGATTTGTTCTTGATGCCAGTAAGAAACAAATATGTAAAGAAACAGATGTGAAGGAGGCATGAAAGAACGTTTATGATCTGCCCCTGCTTCTTGGCTGTAGCGCCCTGATTCCCACTGCACTTTGTTCAGACCTTCTTGTCTCTGGTTCGTGTTGGAAGGGAAGGCCACCTCAGTATGTTTTTGTGCCTAGGCAATGCTGATGGCAGCGATCAAGGAGCAAAAGGCATGGTCCTAGCCTCTGCGACTCCTAACGGAGTCAATAAAGAGATGTGTATATGAAGAGGAGCCAATTGAAGTGGTTCTTCATTTGAAGGGACAGTATGTCTGAATCCTTCTGAAATGAAAAGAATTAGAGGAAGAATGTTAGAATGTATGAAATGAGTCAATGAAAGAAAAATCCATCAGTTGAAAAAATAAATGTTTCTATAGGCAACTTTAAGCAGAACAAGATTTTGAAAGCAACGGCTTAATGATTAAAATATAGGGAGACAAAAGGGAAAGGCCTGAAGAATCTTAAGAAGTTATGAGTTCCGGGGGAAACAGAGCTTTAGTGTGGTTCATTTCACTAAGTAGCAGAAGTGCAGACACGAAGTTGTTGGCATACCCAGCATTTTCACTTTATTTGTGCCAAAAACCTGGGATGAATCAGAATTAGCAATTAAGAGCAATGGTTTTCCCTGTACCCATGGCTGGTACAGAAAGAGACATGTGATATTTATTTTTCATTTAGTTTCTTAATTATTTGAGAGGCAAAGAAACCGGGGTGGGAAGGAGAAGGAGATGAAGGAGGAAAGGAATGAGAGAAAGGAGGAGGAGAGGAAAGAGAGAGAAAGAGAGAGGAAAGAGAGAATTCCCAGCAGAGTAAGAAGAGGAAGAGGAAGGAGGAGGAGAGAGAGCGCTCCCAACTTTGTTTTATTCCCCATGTATGTGTAGCAGGCCGAAGCTGTAAGTTTGGAATCTGATCTGAGCCTCTCATGTAAGAAGTCTAGGACCCGGGAACTTGAGCTGCCATCTGCTCCCTCTCACCACACATGTTTGTCAGACACTGAAATCAGGAGTGAAGCTGGGACTGTGATTCAGGCTCTCCAGTGTGGGATGCAAGCATCCCAGATGGCTTCTTCACCAACAGGCCGTATGCCTGACGTGGTTCTTGTCATTGGAATGGGCAAAACCCATGCACCTGAGAGGATCTGGGGAAGTGTAACAGGAGTGAGGCAGCATGAGGTTGCCAAACCAGTGCTGACTGTGCCTGCCTTTGAATTTAGAGCTAAGTAAACAGCTGCTGTCCTTAGAGTCTGAGTTAGGTTTTCTGCATTCTGCAATCCGTTCCAACTGT